TATCCAAGGTCTGAATAACTGATTAAATTTTGGAGAATCGATATCATAGCACATAGTTTAGTTTAGTTCAGACAACAGATCAACATGATGGTCCCGTTTTATTTCTAACTCAAGCCTGAATCCGAAGAACCTTAGCACAGTGCACAGACTCCGTAGCACCAGCGAGAATTCTGAAATACTGTCATGGCATACTTGGCAAATCCATAGAAGCTCCGTCCAGGAGAGTATGATGCAGTGGGGGGTGGCAGGCAGATCTTGCAGACGGTCAACAGGGCAGACGAAAGGCGGGAGGTATATTATCATACTGCTTTCTATTCCCACTGGTATTCAAACTCTTGCGCCGGCTGCTAAAGATGAGGACGAAGCGCTTACGGGTATGCCTAGAGTGATGTAATATCAGTTCCTAATTCTTTTCATTCCCCTACAGATAACAAATATAACTAACATATTCACGTAATCAGCATAAAAGCAAAAATCCGTGTTACATGTACATATTCACAAACTAACGACTTTCCCACGTTACCAAATATAGACTCTACCATTGATGCACTTATGTTCGCCTTTGTCTGATCTGTGTCGCCTTCTGTTGTTTTACGGCCAAAGGAAAAAAAGCTACAGCTGATTCGCCAGGTGTATTTTTGTCAATCCCAGCGTAGAATGCCGGCGTGTTTTCCTCAGTTCTTATTTGACAGATGTTTTGTTTACCGTTGTTCGTTTCCATGCTTGCAAAGACCCACAAGAATGTGTCTATTTCTAACTTTATCAACAATGCTTTGAATGTGTACAGCAATTCTTAGAAAAACAACATATTCTTTGTAATTCGGAATGTATTCGCTACATTCATGTTCGTCTGCTTGTTTATTCAGGCACCCGTGAATTTAGGCGTGATGGCCAAACATTAGCGTGTTGCCTAATAAACCATTTATTTCTTCTGTGTATCTTTATGTGAGAACGGTCACCAGTATTTGTCGGGGGCACCGGAATGGCCTTCTAAACCCCCCCCCCCCCCCCCCCAACCCTAGGGCCCCAGTATAACATTTGTAAGCGAGTAAAGGACTCTTTTCCACGCCTTCAGACGTATTGGGCTTATAGGGCTGGACATATATTTTATAGACTTATCGGCACTTGGTGAGTGTCGTGGTCATCATGACGCCAGCCGCCTTTACTTCCCTCAATTGCATACCCACTTAACCTGCTAACCTGCAGCCAGATTTTTGAAGGTCACCAGTATTTGTCGGGGGGAAAGTCACCGGAAAGGGCGTTAAGGTCCTTCTAAAAATTTCCCTGAACCTGAAACAAACCCCCAGATAACCCGACCAGTTACCAGTACTTCGATGTTACCCGCGTGCGCATTCTCTCAACGGCGAAGGAACGAGGGGGAAATTGTCACGTGATACCTTTTCCACTGTAATAGTTACCTGTCAGCACTTACACATGCGAATCGATCACGGTTCACTACTGGTGCTGGCACAATTACGTGCTGTGATGAGAAGTTGTCAACAGTCTCTCTTCTCCGGATTCTCTGCTGCCATAAACATCTCCCGCTGTCTTAACATGCTGCCTATTTAATAATACGTCTCACTATAGCACGCATTTTTTAGTTATTTTAAAGATCCACCTAGGCTGTTGTCGCAAGCCCTAATTTAACATATTTTTTTTACTTATTTTAAAGATCCACCTTGGCTGTCGTCGCGAGTCCTAATTTAACTAAAGATCCACCACGGCTGTCGTCACGAGCTTTATTTAATTAAACTAAAGATCCACCACGGCTGTCGTCGCGAGCCCTAATTTAACTAAAGATCCACCTTGGCTGTCGTCGCTAGCCCTAATTTAACAAATTTTTTAGTTATTTTAAAGATCCACCTTGGCTGTCGTCGCGAGCCCTAATTTAACTAAAGATCCACCTCGGCTGTCGTCCCCAGCCCTAATTTAACTAAAGATCCACCACAGCTGTCGTCGCGAGCCCTAATTTAACTAAAGATCCACCACGGCTACCGTCGCGAGCCCTAATTTAACTAAAGATTCACCACAGCTGTCGTCGCGAGCCCTAATTTAACCTAGCGATTGAATGGGGTTTCTGGGACTTGCACCCTAGGATTTTCATCCGAATGGTTGCAGTTTGTGTCACTGGATGTCAATCTTAAGTTGTGTGGTCCTGGTTGTGGTTGAATGCCAGTCTTTAGCGTGCTGCATATTTATTTTCTCACAATGGTACTCAAAATGAAGACTGCATATTTTCGCTGTGTGTGAGAAGCTGTCCGCGTCCTGTAGCCTTTAAAAAAAATTGACATCGATCATTTTACCTAATAAAATATTGTCAGCGTTTAATCCCATCTCTGTATGGGACCCAGGAAAAAATGTACGTATGTCTGTCTGTCTGTCTGCCTGCCTGTCTTGTCGGTCGGTCGGTCGGTCGGTCGGTCGCTCGCTCGCTCAGTCGCTCGGTCGGTCGGTCGGTCGGTCTGTCTGGGTGGGTGGGTGGGTGGGTGGGTGTGTGTGTGTGTAAAGAAGTAAGCGATGTAGATTCGAACATAAGACCTTTAGGCCGGCATTAAAGCTTCTTGCAAATTTGCTATGTGGACGCTCATTTAAGTTACTTGTGTGTGTTACCTTCTGTTACACTTAATGGTTCAGAATGTACTAAGTATTCACTGAACTTTCTTTGTTCTGTTTTCTTTTCCATCGTCAAGTTTCCACTTGTTTCTCTTCCTTCTCGTCACAGGCATTCTTTTTCTCTGGAAAAAAATAACACGTAAATGCAATACATCACAGAAAGCAAACAACAGAGCGGCACACCCGTATCCTGCAGAAAAGTAGACTGACCCAATAAACTTGTGAATTAAACGTGATCTACTTTGTTTATATAGACTAACGTAAACCTAACGGGTGTATCCTTAACACGACGTTGCGGAACTAACTCCAGCATGTTTTGGCTGTTGTTGTTTTTCTAGGCAAATGTTACGTTTATTAGTTTGCCATTGCCTCTGACGGTCAGCTCCTAATACCACTTTCGAAACCAACGCAAAACAAAGTGTATCGCTGAGACTGCTATTTGTGTATTTTTTTAATCTCTTTCTCCCTTTCTTATTGTTGTCTACCTCTTTATCTCCTGGCTTTAACTTTTCCTTTCCGTCAGAGAGTTGGTATCCGTTTAGGTGATTGCAGTAAGACCTAGCTCTGATGACTGAGCACTCCCCCTTCTCATAAAAGATTTGCAAAGTAGCTAAGTCCCATCCTCACCCTACCCCTAACTTATGTACACATTTTCTCATTTTAATGTATGTTCACAGATCACAATTCTCTTCAAAAATATAATTTTAGTTTGGTTAGTATGCCATTTAGCACCTTTTTATAAATAATAATAATAATTATTATTACTGTTATTATTATTATTATTATTATTATTATTATTATTATTATTATTATTATTATTATTATTATTATGCGCATTTTAACAAGGCTTATAAGAGGGTTAGGGTCATTGAGCATCCTCATCCTCGTAAGCCCCAGTAAGTTAATGGGGGATGGGGGTGGGGGAAGGGGGAGGTGGTGCTGAGATCCTCTCCTCCTAATAAATTATATGTGGCGGAGTATCAGCTTGCTGCCATCCTCACATCTCCACTGTTGGTTTTCTCTCATTCTCTTTCCCTCCAACCTGGGATACATTGGCACCTTTCCGTCTCTCCAGACGATAGTGTTATATTGCGCTTTGAGGAGGCATGGACACACTCACAGCCCATTGCGATGGCGAATGTGACTAACAAGACCCGCCCGCGTTAAGAAAAATCGTCCACAATTATAGCATTGGATTTCAGTACCATTGTTGTCAACACTTGTGTTTAGCGTGTTTCTTCTCAGACGCTCAGCTCTCATCATTTCTGCATTTCCTGGCTTCCTTCATTCTCACTGCCTTTTTGGGGTGCCCCCCAACACAACAATGTCCATGACATCGGACACATGATGGTACAATATAGGAAAGAACGTTTCTATATTTCATGCACCCCGTAACATTATGACATAGATTTGATTTTAATTTGCAGATCAGTGACATATACATTTTGTTACAATACCGGCCCGAGTCTGTTTCTGTTCTGGGGCCTATGTTGAAAAAAAAAAGAACAGATCTACTGCGCCCCCTCTCTTTTTTCTTCACAAGCATGTCGTAGAAGGCGACCAATCAGGATTGTTTAATTAGAAGTCTCTCTGCCTAAGAGGCTCTGAACCAAAAGTCGGCATACAAATAAGCTAAGTATGTAAAATGAATGCACATACTAAAGTCAAGTTCCAGGTCAAGATCAAAGTCAAGGTGTGGACGAACAATCAGAACTTTCCATTGGGGTTTACAGCTAGTGAACGCTAAAAAGAGGTAGTTTACACTTCATGTGAACAGCTTTGTTTGAAATTTGTGCAGTCATGTTTATCATAATCGGTTTTTTAAAGTGTTAACAATATTAACTTTTATATGACATGTTTGTATACTCCACAGGAATGGCACGCTGGCATGGCACACGATTACTACAATGGCAACAGAAGGGTCTATAAAGATGTGGTTTCCCTATTAAATCCAAGTAGTATACAAGCACGCAAGAAACACGATTCTATAATGTTCTCGTAAACATTTATTTTTGTGCAGAACTATCAAAACTCAAAATCAAATTACAGTATATGGTCCTTCTGTTTGGATTAAACATTGCTTTGAAGTGTACGCCGAACGATTGAAGTCTCCGAGACCTACTTTGCTCGCTAGAATTTTCTGTATGCCAAAAATAAACGATCCATTGCAATGTAATGAGACAGGAAACGAGTTTATCCCCGTTGGTTTATCTGTGGCTGGCGTTATATTTATAGCTAAATTAATCGATAACTCATATTACTTAATCAAACATCAAACTGAAATGTCCCAGAAATAGACAAAAAGTACATTTTTTGAGAGTAAAAAGGCTGTTAAACTGAAATGTCAGAAATCAAATCGTTTAAAAAGTTCGCTAAAAAACCATCCCATGTCTCTCTTTTACGCTAAACCGATTATTTCTCTGAACTCCACACCGACGACCACGACCCACATCGCCATCATCACTGATACAACTTCAGCGACAACCTCCACCACCATTATCTGGACGAATATCAGTGAAGCTGTCCACAAGGACGCCATGGATGTGGTGGTCACAAAGATTATCTCCTTGTTAATCCTCACTCTTCTGTCCGTGCTGTGTGGTCTCTTGCCACTCCGTCTGCTGATGCACACGCCACATCTCTTCACACGGAGCAGGAATTCCGTCGACTGCTTTCTGTGTGGTCTCCGGCTTTTTTCTGGCGGTAAGTTTTTACCTTCTATGTTGTTGTTGCCTTTTTTCCCCCCTTCAATGCTTTGTTTTAAAGAAATTGTTTTAACCTAAGTTTTGTTTCCCATCTCGAGGCGTTGATAACTTGTTTTAACAAGGTTTTTTTTTCCCTCACTGGCTTCATACTTTAAACCTTTGTGGCGACGCTGGTGGCAGGTAAAACTAAAAAAAATTACTAATTACATTTCTGCTGTTATCGGAATCCATTTGAGTGCGCTCGAGGCAACTGCTCCGTTATCAGATACTGCTGGGTTAATAACTCTTTGTGGTTTATTTGGGGTTCATATTTCTAACGGTTTGCATTCAGTGACTTAATAAGTCCCTATTAGTATGCATATCCCACAGGAACAAACCTCCAACATCCAGTTCAGATGGTTAAAACAATTCTAAAGTGGCAACCTAGGATTACACGAAATAATCTGCTTCCGGCTTGGGTGATGGATTCGATCATATTTCTGCAATTTTCAGCTACGCCATTCATTCACCTCTTTTTTGGTCTTGATAATTATTCGTTTAATTTGTTAACGCAACGTTAGCCCGACTCGGTGACGTCAGCAGCACGTCCCGTCAGCTGGAACCTGTCGTGGTTGTAGCATATACAACTTACACTTCAGAATAATGAGATAGTGTGACAACTGTACAGCATTAAAAAATGTGAAAAAACGAATCATCAGAACATCACATCATAACACTGCCTGTGTTTAGTTCAGCAACTGCTGTTGATTGATCAGCTCCCTCCACCTCTCGCAGTCAGATGCAGTGGATTTCATATTTGCACGCCTAAGGCCTGTCCAAACAGTCAAGTTGTATATCCAGTTCTTTCTTGGTCTGCCTCTTCTCCTTTCCCCTGTTACTGTGCCATGTAGTATTGTTTCTTACTGTGTGTACAATCAGACAGTTAGTGGTACTATCGGAATTGGAACTCTTCGCTTGCTGCTGAAAGTAGGTAGGTAGGTAGCTGTACCCCACCAGGACATCACGCAAGAGATAAATACCCGGTTACACAAAGTGTCACCATGTGATGAGGATCACCCGTGGAGAGGTCCAAGAAACCCCTTTCAGCCGTCAGGCCATATCTAAGGCATGGCCATATTTATGGTCCGGCTATATTTAGGGTCACCGACAGAAGCCAGGGTGGGGCTTCAAAAAAAAAAAAAATTGCATCCCGCATGGTGACGACTTATAATAACTGCTGAAGATGGGGACGGAGCGCTTAGAAGTGTCCCGAGTGTTGTGATATCGATTCTCAATTTAACATTAAATATTCTCATAGGCAGATCTTCATACATCGAATGATCCTATAAAAAGTTGCATGTTAAACGGAAAATGTTTAACTAAAAGGATCTTGAACAGACATGGAGTTACGTCTAGTACTGAAAAAAAAAAGCAACTCAACTTCACAGAAAGATATTTTAGCCATCCTGGTTTTAACCCCTGCAAATTATTTAAGGCTTCTGCATGTGAATGTGATAAACGCAGTAAAATAATGTTATAACAACATACCTGTGTGATTATTGTATATATAAAAAAAAAAGAGAAAAAATAATAATAAATATAGACATAAACAATAGATGAATACGTCGGCTTGTAGTTAACACATATTACACGAAATCATCCTCCCGGCATTGGCACGGAACGGCGCATTAAGAGCGAGAATGAGATCATTAACGGGGGATCATGCAAACAAACATACTCGCAACAAAAAAGAAGATACCGCTCGTCGTATTAAAAAACCAGAATGACGAGTTCGCTACTTTGCCAAGAAATGTAACAGTCAAGGGCGTCGGAGCCTGGAGGCTCAGATAACTTGAGAATCCTTTCGGAAGTTTAGGGTCTTAGCTCCGACTCTCTTTTTCTTCCAGTCCCAATAATTTTTAAGCAGTAAAATATTCCCCCGCCCCCCCCTTCCCCCCCCCCCCAAATAATTTATTAAGCAGTAAAGACCCCACCCTTTTTTTCAACCACCCCTTCCCCTCCACGCCCCAAACAATGTACAGATGTTTTGGTTTTAACCGTTTATTTGTACTTTTCATTCATATTAATTTACATATTGTTATCACATTCTGAAAAGAATAATGATGCTATTATTGCAATAGTAAACAAGGTTTAATTAACTCTTTCACGCCCAGAGGATCATAATAAATCACCAGGGGGAACACTCGTTGTGTAGCGACTTGAAGCTCACCTGTGTTTCGGAAGATCGTGGGTTCGAGTCCCGACCCTGGCTTTCAGGTCGACCCAGCTTTGAATGGGTACCAGGTATAGTCCTAGGAAATAAAGGCGGCCGGCATGATATTGACCACATCACCCATCAAGTGCTGACGGACCTATAAAATATAGGTCTAGCCCTATATACCTTATACGCCCGAAGACGGGCAAAAGGATCCTTTGCGTTACTTTACCATCACCGGGGACTAATTATGCATGGCAATGTAGGATACAACGCGAGAAACCAAACATGAAATACAAGACTATAATATGTCTTCGAGGTGACGGTCATATCCAGTCACATATAGTGCGTTGGTTGGTACCTAAAGAGGTAACCCCTATAAACCTACAACCCTAGAAAATTATAAGGAGGGAGGGACAGAGGTGGAAGGGGGGTGGGATGTTACTTTACTTTTCCCTCCTCCCTTCCAAAATGTGTTCTTTGCGTCGGCGTCCCTGGCAACAGTAATCTCGGAGACTTCTGCTGCTTGACTTTGTTTATCTCTGGGATTCAGCCGCTTGTCTGGGAGTTTCGTGTCCATGGCTTTCTGTTTTATTTACACAAACACTGGGAGATCACAGGGTAGGAAAGTAGTTCTTAAAAGTAGAGATTGGATGTGTCTAAAATAGAGATTGGATGTGTGAGTACTTCTCTGTCTGTAGGCGGGAGAGAATGTGACTTTGCAAAGGATTTGCCCACAATTCAAGTTGGTTAGAAAGTAAGGGAGAGGGGTATGGAATGGAAGTTTTAGCCAGGAGTAAGAAAGAAATCAACTGATGGGTTTGTGAGTAGGGTGAAATTTAAAAGAAATAAAATTACGAGATTTCGTGCGCTTCGCTCAGTAGCGAGTATAACTTTTGTTGGTGGCGTTAGAAGGGGAATATTAAATAACAGTATGCAGATCTGCCTAATGCTCTAGAGTCCGGAATTAATTGATAGCTTTGTCTTCGAGAATAACAAATGAAGATGTTCGGTGTAACGCGAAAGAGCCAGCAAACAGGAGATAAAAACCAGACAAGCAGTTTTTACAAATACTGCATTTTAAATGATTTTTTCATTCAGCGGAAGCCAAACGGCATTATAGTGCATGCATTGAAGATTAACCGTCTGTGTTTTTTTTCCTATCAGTGGCAAGATTGCATTTATGGTATTTTTTATATTTCATCCCCTACGATCTTAAAATCTGGAAAGAAAAGCGCTAGTTAGTTTCACTTTCATAGGATTCACACGAATTGAGATTATTTAAAGATCAGATCGACCTTACCGCGCCAAGTGTTGTCCCACGTTCGGAGTTTTCTTTTCCTTCAAAATTTACATAAGCTTCTGCGTGGGCCCCAGTCTAGAACGGATATAGCTAATGTGATGGGAAGTAGAGGTGGCCTGCGTGATATGGACCACATGACCCCTCGAGAATCGGTTGTTTTACAAAAATATGAGTCTAACCCCACGTGCTCATTAAACCACTGGCGTTAGAGAAAAAAAATGTCCGTTTGCCTTATGAACTGTTATTCAGAAAGAGAGATGGATAGTGTGTGTGAGAGAGAGAAAATGAGAGAGTGTGAGAAATAGGAAGAGAAAGAGAGTGAGAAAGTGTGTAAGCGAATGAGAGAGACAGAGAAAGTTAGAGAGATTATGAGATAGTGAGAGAAAAAGTCAGAGTGAGAGCAAGTGAGAGACAGTGAGAGTGAGAGAACCTAGGGATGCACGACGCTTTCCACATGGAACGCTATGAGTGAACAAAGGCACTTGGCTTATATTCTGACCATGAAGATGTGGCCTTTATTGCAACTATTGTAAGCCACAAGGACTTTAAATCTGGCCAAACCATAGTTACCGGACTCCCTATTATAAATTATTCTCCCTAAATGGGACGCAATTTTTTAAAATTATTTTAAAGCCCCACCCCGGCTGTAGTCGAAAACCCTAACATAACCTAACGGTTGGACGGGGTTTCTGCTACCTCCGCCCGGATGATCCTTATCCGCGTGGTGGCACTTTGTGTCACCGGGTGCTTATTACTCGGTGGATGTCCTGATGGGGTTGACATTTATTCATTCGTTCACGTCCCCTCATTCTCACCATCTCCCCTCACAAAATAAAGCCGCGCTCAGCCACCAATAATAATAAAGGGAATTAAGGGGCTGCATGTTAACCAAATATATCGAAAGCTTCTTTGAAAGCATTTCATTACACAATTCATACTGTCAAATATTCAGCAAGCGCTCAACAAAATGTAATTAACTAATCAATCTTCTAGTAGGGCTGCTTTATTACCCGTCACTTTTCTGCAGGTAATCAAGAAAGATCTCTTTCTGTTTGTAACCGTCTCATGACTTGTTATTTCAGCGTGCACTTGAAAGACTCCGGTTTCAAAGAAATCAGCAAACCATTTATTGTTAGATAATTTCCGTTTAGGATATCTACTTCCATTCTGTGCATATAACAGAGGAAGACATACAGTCACGTCTGAACAAAGCTAGAGCTGCTTTTAGAAGGATGAGGCAAATCTGGAAATCCAACAATTACTGCAGAGAAACGAAACTCCGACTCTACAAGAGCATCATTTTGCCCGTTGTTCTTTATGGAGCGGAATGCTGGAGAATGACCAAAAAGGATGCACACAAGCTGTCCACCTTCCACCACACATGTCTACGTAGAATTATCAAAATTTTCTGGCCAGATAAAATCTCAAACACTAAACTACTTCAAGCCACAAACCAAGAAACTTTAGACAGTATGATTACCAAGAGACGATGGAAATGGCT